CAAGATGAAGCCAGAGAGGGAGACAAACCATAAGAGGCTCTTAATCTCAGGAAACAAACTGAGAGTTGCTGGAGTGGAGGGGGGCGGGAGGGATGGGGGGCTGGGTGATAGACATTGGGGAGGGTATGTGCTATGGTAAGCGCTATGAATTGTGTAAGACTGATGAATCACAGACCTGTACCCCTGAAACAAATGATACATTCTATGTTAATTAAAAAAATTATTTAAAATACTTCCCCAAATATGTATTTTTCCAAAGTCAGCCAGTTTTATTTTGGAATCTGGGTCTGTATACATTTCATAATTTATGGGATTCACCTATTAGCATGACAGAGCTAAAAGTCTTATTTTGTAGGAGACATAGAGATTTCAAGTCTTTTCTGCCCTAACCCTATGTTGTTACCTTGCTCCCTCCTCTGCATTCTTTTTGAAAGAAGGTAAAGGGAGGAAAGGTCATCCACTCCCCATTTTGATTTCTTATCTCTCTTTTAACTTAAACATTGCCTCCAGGTATCTCTTCACCATTTTAAGACCTGAGAGAAGTAGATTCTAGGTTATCTTTCTCTGAAGGGATTTTTGAATTGGCAGATGCCTGTAATCAGACTGCTTTCCACATCTGTAAAGAAAAAGTGGAACTCTAAGAAGGGTAAGGGTTAGAGTTTCCAAAACAAATGAATTTTAATGTGTTGGGACCAAGAACTTGAGTTCTCAGAAACAATTCATGCTTTGTTTACTAAACAAGTCTGCTGAACACTGTGTTCTTTTCTGGAAAGAATTTGGGGGATGGGCTGCACAGGGAGGAATATGAGGGATGTGGGGAATGTGATGAGAAGGAAGGAAAGAAATTTAAGATACTTATAAATCAGAATCGGCCCTTAAAATGTACAGGTCTAGGGCAAGAGTTTAAATGAAGGCCTCATACCATATATCTAAATATTTAAGTTATAATCAAGCTAATAAACTGTTAAATAAAATATATTCTCTCCTCCTACCTTAACACATCTAATGACTTGCAAGCATAGATTCAAGTTTAGAATCCTCAGACCCCTTGGGATTCCATACTGGATATGGCGGCGTGGGGAGATCTGGCCCAGTGGCCCACATGTCTTCGCCTTCTGTCTCTAGCTCCATCCCTCACACTGCAGGGCTGTGGACACGCTGTCCAGGCCTAGGGTTTATGGGTGAGGAAGATGGACCCAGGGAAGAGGCCCACACAAGCCCTGAAAGCAGGTTTGGTGTCATTTGGGTAAAGAATTCTGGAAATCTGCTTACTCTTAACATGGAGAAAACGCTTCTCCATGAAAGTAAAATGTGAGCCACGTAAGTTAATTTTAAATTTTCTCATAGTCACAGAGAAAGTAAGGAGAAACCGTTGAAATCAATTTTAATAATATTATCTTATTTAATGCAGTATAGCAAAATTGCTATCTGTTCTAAAAAATTATTAATGAGTTTACATTCTCTTTTGTATTAAGTATTTGAAATCCATTGTTTATTTATACTTAGAGAACATCTCAATTTGGACCAGCCCCATTTCAGGTGCTCCATAGTCCCTGAGGGCTGTTGCTGTCTGATTGGACAGCTCAGACTCCTTGTTCTGTGGGGGGGTGCTTGGCCCCTGGGACTGGGGGCAGTTCTCTTTATCATAAGGTCTGGTAGTATTTTTATCATTGAATTGATGCAAAGAATAATTGCAGTTCTTTATATTTAGAGCCTGTAGCCATTTTAAAATGCAAATATATGTATACATGAGACTATGGAGGGCACTTGTTAAGAGTTTTATTTTTGTTTATTTCTTCAACTGCTTTTTACTCATTCGGCTTACTACTGCTTTCCTTTGGGTCAGGGCCAGTGTGGTTCTAGTAAACTTGTTTGCAAAGATGAATATACTCTCTGCCCCCTGCCGCCATGTTATTGATAAATACTTTTCCAAAAGTGTGCTCTCATTTGCTGTCTTGAGTAAGTCCTGGAGTTGTAATCATTTCATCTCCACTCTGTTGTGTGGGATAATGTCTGGTAGGTCTATTTCTTTCCTAGAGGAACTTTTTTTTTTCCTAAGTTCAGTTTAATTGTGCATATTTTTAAACTGTGGCCAGTTCTACCAAATGAGGAATCATATCTAGAAAGTAGGATACTGTTTTTGTTTGGACTAGAACAGCAGTTTCATCTATTTCAGGATAGAGTTGGCAGATTTAGAAGGACAAAAAAGCACTCAGTTAAATTTGAATTTCAGAAAAACAACAACAACAAATTTTTTTTTTTTAGTATAAGTATGTCCCATGCAATATTTGGGAGATACTTTACACTTAAAAAAAAAATGTGTTTATGTTCTGTATTTATCTGGCAACCGTATTTTAAGACTCCTTTACTCTCTCAAAAATTGAGGACCCTAAGCAGTTTTTATTTATGTGGATTAAATCTATTAAAAACTTAAACTGAGAACTATTTTAATATATATTCATTTAGAAAATTAATAAACCCTTTCTTGTTGACATACACATTTTTTATGAGAAGTAACTATTTTAGAAAACAAAAAAAAAAATAGGTAGGAGAGTGTCATTGTTTTATATTTTTACAAATCTTTTCATGTCTGGCTTAATAGAAGGTAGTTGGATTTCTCCGTTTCTGCATCAAGTTGGGTGTGCTGTCATAAAGACCAGGTGGAAGTCTCCACTGGACACTTGAGAGAAAAGGACAATGGGAAAAGGCAGATGGCATCTTAGTATTGTTACGAAAGTAGTTTTGACCTTGGGAATTCTCTTAAGAGGGTCTGAGCAACCTCTTCTAGGGTCCTCCAGCCATGCTTTGAGAACCTCTGAACTAGGAATAATAGAACCTGTAATTCTAGCTCCTGTAGTGTAAATCATGGATGATTTAGTCAGAATAAAGGATAAGCATTCTTTGTTTTAAGAAGGCCTAATGAATCACATTGTAAAGTAGAAAGCAAATTAAAAATGATTATTCAGGTTTAGCAGTTAATTCTTAACCTTTTGTTTAATTTAAAATACTTTTAGGTCTATACTTCACCATTCAAGAAAATTGCTATTATAAAAGAAAAATCAAAGTAACACTTTAAACTGTCACCTTTCTGTTTAGAATAAACTTTATGTCATTATTTAAAATGAAGCTTAGGGGTACCTGGGTGGCTCAGTCGGTTAAGCATCTGACTTTTGATTTTCACTCAGGTCATGATCACAGGGTCATGAAATCAGCCCTACTTTGGGCTCCTGAGCATGGAGTCTGCTTATCCTTCTCTCTCTGCTTGTCCCTCTCCTCCTGCTTGTGCGTGAGTGTGCTCTCCCTCTGTCTCTCAAATAAATAAAGTCTTAAAAAATTTTTTTTAAATAAAACTTAGCATTTTTTATTATAAAATTCAACAGATCGGGCACATGACAATTTCCTTAATGCTGATTGGAGGGACACCTGGGTGGCTCAGTCGGTTAAGCGTCTGCCTCCGGCTCAGGTCATGGTCCCAGGGTTGTGGGATCACGTCCCACATCAGGCTGGAGCGGGAGTCTGCTTCTCCCTCTGACCCTCCCCCCTCTCGTGCTCTCTCTCTCTCACTCTCTGTCTCTGAAATAAGTAAGTAAAATCTTAAAAAAAAAAAATGCTGAATTGGATTTAGTTTTAAGAGTATGTCTGTTCTAGGCACTGTACCTACTGCCCAATATTTAGGCTTGGTCAGTTTTAAAAATAATTAGCATAATGCAATAACTAATCTGATTCTCATCTCAAATAAAAAGAAAGGGGGTGCCTGGGTGGCTCAGTTGGTTGGGCGACTGCCTTCGGCTCAGATCATGATCCTGGAGTTCCGGGATCGAGTCCCACGTCGGGCTCCCTGCTCGGCAGGGAGCCTGCTTCTCCCTCTGACCCTCCCGACCCTCCCCCCTCTCATGCTCTCTCTCAGTCTCTCTCTCAAATAAATAAATAAATAAATAAATAAAAGGGTAGAGGTCAGCAGTGGACTGACAGAAGTAAAACACAGAGAAGTAAAACTTTAAAGATGACTTCTTTAATCACTTGGACAACTGAGAAAATGAAAGAGCCATTAACAAAAATAAATCAGAAGGAAGTGCTGGTCTGGGAGAAAGACATCAGTTGAGTTTCGCACTGGAAATCCTGTAGGGTAGCCCAGGAGGCAGGGGGTGGTGTGTGGTGGTTTCGAGAGAGCTGTTCACAGAGCAGTAAAACAATTTCCAAGGAAGGCAAGGTAGAGAGAGGAGAGAAGCTGGCAAAGCAGAGATCTGTGAGAAACACTTAACTGTGGAGTGGGGAAGAAGAGATGAAGAAAAAAGAAAGAAACCTAGAAGAAAAGAATCAAAGAGTGTTGAAAGAGGCTCAGTGAGGAAAAGGTCTTACAAATGAAATGAGAAGAGCTTTTCCAGAAAGGGCATGTGCTTATTAGCAGTATCAAATATTGGGTTGAGACTGAAAAATGATAATTGGTTCTTAAATTTGAAACTATAAAAACTTGGTTCCCTGAGAGAGTGTGTAGTTCTGATAAATTAATTTTTTATTTCAGGTTTATATTTGGGGAGTAATGAAGCAGAAAGATTTTTTTTTTTATTATGTTATGTTAATCACCATACATGACATCATTAGTTTTTGAGCAGGAAGATTTTTGACTTGTGTGGGTAACACAAATTCGGAAGGGCTAGATCTGCCTGTTCTTTCCCTCTCTCTCCATTATCACGTAATGGTGTGTTAATGAAGCTGGCCCGGGTAAAGCTAAAAAAATTACTCCAGCAGAACTCACATCTTCAAATACTCAATCTCATTCTGGACTGACAAGTTTGTTTGTTTTTAAATATAACTGTTATATTTTAGGTAAAACACTGACCTTAGAGTCTGAAGAGGTGCACTCCAGCTCTGCTGTGCGCTTAACCTCTGTGGGCTCATTTCCTCCTCAACTGAATTGGATTGGATTATCTCTAAGGCTATACTAAAATAATGTGATTTATGCATCTCTGACACTTTTTTCTTTTGTTTTATTGTAACAGGTTCACCAAGTTGAGGAGTCTTAACCTTTCCAATAATCATTTAGGGGACTTCCCATTAGCAGTCTGCAATATTCCAACCCTGACTGAGCTGAACGTGTCCTGCAATGCCCTGCGAGCAGTCCCCGCAGCCGTCGGGGTTATGCACAAGTGCGTACTTCAAGCCCCACTGCACGATATCCCTCAGAGACCCCTGGGGAAGCCGCACTGGGGTCACAGTTTAAGAGATTAGTTAACTTATTCTGTTGGTCATGGAACTCTTGGCTCCAAAGCAAGACGTCAGGCTCTTCTGGAGAGTTCATTTGTTAGCTTTTATACTCTTTATAAAGTCTTGTAAAAAATTAAAATACCCTTGTTTAGAACTGAGGATCCCCACAGATGAGTGTGTCTACCCATGGGATGACATGCTTACTTTCTCATTTTCTGAGTTATGTTGAATTCTAAGACTTAATATTTAAAGTAACAATGAAAGATGGGTCTTGGGGCTGCTTCACACTGTAGTTAGCTCACATTGTTCCCATTTATGCCTATCCAAGTTGGGAAAATGGGTCATAATTTTGGTTTTCAGTAAAAGATTATGATGCTTATCTCTGATCTTTTCTCTGTGGTGTATTATTGCCTTGGGCCCTGCCCTTATGCATTTTGCAAAAGGTAGTTCATTTTCTTTTACTAATAATATCATCTATATTTATGGAACTTGTACATTGATAATAAACATGTAAAGTTTACATTCTCTTTATAATTCTTATGTTTTCTTTACTAGCTTACAGACTTTCTTGTTGGATGGAAACTTTCTCCAGGCCCTTCCTCCTGAGTTGGAGAACATGCATCAGCTTAGTTATCTTGGTCTTTCTTTCAATGAATTCACTGACATTCCAGAGGTTTTGGAGAAATTGACTGCTGTGGATAAACTTTGTATGTCTGGAAACTGTATGGAGACCCTTAGGCTCCAGGCTTTAAGAAAAATGCCTCACATTAAACATGTGGATCTAAGGTAACTTTTTAAGAAATATATCCCATTTAAGTGGTTGGCTTATATTTAGGAGTGGGTTATAGCCCTTTTGGTGACATTCTTCTGCAAGGCAAGCAAGCTGGTTAGTTGCAGTTTATGGTGAATGAAAACCATATCATTGAGAACAAAGTGAGTATTTTTTCTCTTTGTCCTCCTTTTCTGTGGCTTGAGATAGGTAACAGCATTGAGCATCTCTTCTTTCTTAAGTTGTGTTTCCCTCCTTGACTTCCCTAATGTAATATAATGTATTCATTAAATTATTTATTTAACTTATTTATTTTAATTTCCTATTTTTTCTATCCACATGGCTCTGCCCTTAGTTTACTGTTCTTTACAAAAATATAAAATTCATAACCTCTCATTAGGCCCAAGTTTGACCAGAACCTCCACTCTCACACCTCACAAGAGCAAGGAACCTGCATTTTGAATCCTGATCTTGCTAAACTCCAACTAACAACCACTAGCATAGTCCTTGCTACATTAAAGATGCTCATTTAGGGGACTTCCCTAAGTGATTATCCCTAAGTATGTGAGGTTCAGTTTTAGTTCTAACATGCAAAGAACCAGTACACAAGGAGGAAGCTATTCTAAATTTCTCTTTTTTAAGGAAAAACGAGTCTGTCATGGGACTGAGGTCCTGCAAAGCAACATATCAGGCTTAGGCCTTCATGCTGATTTGCCCAACTTGATACTTTTTCAACCAAACTAATTCCTCCATTAGCCAGGGGTTGATGACCACGTAATAATGACGTTAAATCTTGGGCAAGATATTTAATATCTCTGCAACTGTGTTCTCATCTCTAAATTATGGTTAATAATAGAACCTAATTCTTAGAGTTTGGGAAGGAATTGAGTTAAATGCCTCACACTTCCAGTGTGTTTTATGTATCATTACCTAATTGAGGACTCTTTTTACTCATGCAACCTGCTTAGGTATCATTCTTGGACTCTTTACAACTCCCAATTGTCAAAGGTGGCTCTTTCTTTGCCTTACTACCCACTTTCCTCTCTGTTGGTAACCCTGGACCCTCACTCAGACCTGTTGACCTTTGTCAGTATAAAGAAGCATCATCTTTTGCTCCTTTTCTTCTGCATTTATTTGGTCTGGCCTTGGAAACTCATTTATTCCAGTCCCTCAAAGAATTGCTTGCCTTGGGGCACCTGGATGACTCAGTCGGTTAAGTGTCAGCCTTCCGCTCAGGTCTTGAGCTCAGGGCCCTGGGATCGAGCCTCACCGCTCCCTGCTCAGTGGGGAGTCTGCTTCTCCCTCTCCCTCTCCCGCCGGCTCGTGCTCTCTCTCTCTCAAGTAAATAAATAAAATCTTTGAAAAACAAAAACAAAAACAAGAATTGCTTGCCTTTCCCTTCCCTCAGACTAAAGAAATCATGCCTGTTGCACCTGGGGAAGCGTTGGTTAGCAATTTGCAGACATAGAATTCTTAATTTGAGGAATACAAATGGTAGTACTTTATCTGACTTTGAGAACTTTTTGGAATGTCACAGGAGACGGCACTAAACACTTTAACTTTCTTGTTAACTTTCTAAATTGTTAACATTATTTGTCTCTGAGTCGCTTGGATTTAGAAAACTTTCATATTAAAGCATTTAAGCGCTTTTAAATGGAGTCACCTAGATTTCTAGTTCTAATTGGATCTTTTTAGATGAGATCAGTTGCAGGACCCCAATCTTTCTCTAACCCTTAATTTCTCTTCTTGGGACTAATTCCACCTCAGGTGCCTCCTGGATAATTTTACCTTGGTTCCCCCCATTGGCACACTTCACCACACCCCCTGTGAAACAGTTCAGCTTCTTTCTTTATTCAACTAGTTCTTCCCCTGGATTCCTATTTTACTGATAGCAACATCACTTCATTGTGTCTATAGACATGAAATTTTGGACCCTGTCTCTGGTCTACCACCAGATTCTATGAGTTTCTTCTTTCACAATGGTTTCTCTCTTTGTCCCTTCCTTTTCCTTCTCGCTACTGCATCTGTTTCCATTGTGTAGCCTCTCAAGCAAGCACAGTCTTGCCCAGAGCCTTCGGTTCTTTGGCTGGAGGTATTTAAACTCTTCTTATCTGGTTTCAACCTACTAGCCTGTGAGTCCCTTGGGGATGCGGCTCTAGCTCAGAGCTACTCAAAGTGTGGTCCTCTGACCTGTGCTGGGAAGCCAACTATTTGCTACCTTTCTACAATGAAATATGTATAGAAATTGAGACTTAATGTTTTAGAAACATACAGTGATTTGACATTGCCACAGTATGCAAGTAGACTCATACAAGCAACTCATCTCATTGTACGGGGAATAGACTCGTTTAGCTGTTGGTGAACTCACTTGGGGAGCCGCCTGTGCTCTGGGCTGTGTCCTGGTCATGTGCAGTAAGACTATACACATCAGTCCATGATAGATTAGAAGTTTAGAACAGAGCTCATTCACCACAGATAACTGAGAAACACTGCTCTTCTTTATCCTTGTTATCCAGCGTTAGCACTTAGTTGGTACTTTAACTGACTAAGCCCCCCTTGCAGCTTCTTACATGCCTTGCGCTCCTGCACTCACGTGTGAAGTCCTCCCTGCGCTTTTCTCTTCAGTCCAGAGGCTGTTCTGCCCTAACTCATGCACTGCTTTCTTTCCCATTCATATCTGTTATATTCTGCCTACCCTTGGGATTCAGATGAGGTGCTCCATCCATTGCACCTTTTTTGACCATTCTCTGTATTTTATACATCAGTTATGGCACTTAACACATACTTGTAGTCTTTATATTTTAAAGCATATGTGATTTTCCTCACTAACATACTAAATCTGTTGACAAACACCTTTTCTTCATCTCTTATTGACACAAAGCCATAGGTCATCATCCTGATCATCACCATATCTTTCGTTGTTTGCATACTATGGGCACATACTTCATTTCTCAGTTGCCTTGTAGTTGACAAGGTGTTATCCCCATTTTACAGATTAGAATTAGGCTTAAGCAGAGATACTAGGTGACTTGTTCAAGGTCAAACGCAAAGTGATGAGCAGCAAACTGGCACTAGAACATAATGCTCTTTCATACTGCCTGTCTACACAGTAAACCTCAGTGAATATTTATGAAATAAATAAAATGGTTGTGTTTATTGGGGATTATTGGAAGGAAATTTTAATCACATTTTGCCTCCTTGAAAGTTCATCCTAAATATATATTATGGTTTCAGCCTGAAAACTTTTGGATTTGAATCCTGACAGGACTTGGCAATTTAAACTGAATAATTCCCTCTCATTATAGATTTTCTTTTGTCTCCTTATTAAACGAACCTTTAATTATTTTAGTGTTAATACAGTGAAATTACAGGAGGGAGCTATTTCAAATGAAGATGATAATGCCACATTTTGAAAGTTACCTAGAGTGTAAAGTAAGAAGAACATGGGACATTTTTTCAATTTCTATAGTCTGTTGTATCCAAAATGAGATTTTTTATATTTTAATTTAAAAAAAATTTTTTTAAAGATTTATTTACTTTAAAAAGAGTGTGTACATGACCTGGGGGAGGGGCCAGGCAGAGGGAGAGAGAATCACAGGCAGGCTCTGCACTGAGCACGGAGCCCGACTCAGGCTCAGGCTCAGGCTCACGACCCTGAGATCATGACCCTAAGATCATGACTTGAGTGGAAACCAAGACTCGGACGTTTAACTGACTAAGCCACTCAGGAGCCCCTAAAATGAGATTTTTAAAAAATTCTGTGTACATATACTAGTAATCTAGTGAGCATTTGGAAATAGGCAAATTGCTGGGTTGAGGCCAGTTTTTAAATCTTACAACCTGGAATAAAAAAAGAAGCAAAAAAAAACAAATCCTCTTGGGGACATTTGAAGAGGCCATATGCTATGCTTACAGATTGACAAATCCTAACTCTTTGCTATCTGTCACTCATCCTTGCGTTTCAGTGACTTTATGATATTACTATTAATAATTCAATTACCATCATTTTATTTTCTTCAGTTACCATTATTTTATTTTTTTCAAAGGGCAAAAATTCACAACCAAGAAACTTTAGCTTTTTCCTAAGCTCCAGCCCTCATATTAATGCTCTTCTAACCAAGTACATTATTTCAGCACTTTGTTGGCTTTGTAATGAGAAGTACAGGGTTCTTATTGTTTGTTTGTAAAGGAGTTGGGGGTAGCCTAGCAAACTAGGAATTGAGATTTTCATCTGTTTTTCTCCCTTTTGAAGTTAAGTGTATCTTCATTCTATTGATTCCTAGTCCCCATTACTACTTAGTTATCTTCTTGGCAACCCACCCATAGCAACTTCAGTCTGTTAGCTAACTAGTTCTCATGGCCAAGGTTCTTTCTGCCAGTTTTCCTGTGCCTTGCTCTATCCCAGATTTATTGATCCATTGTTGTCCTTGTTTTGTAATTTCTCAGCGAATCCTAGATGCCAAAGTATTTTCTGTGCTTTGCTCTTCCAAGCAGTATTTTATTTTTATTTTTTTTAATGGAGCCCAACATGGGGCTTGAGCTCACGACCCTAAGATCAAGACCTAAGCTGAGATCAAGAGTCAGACACTTAACGCACTGAGCCACCCAGGCACCCCTCAAGCAATATTTTGAGATGGAGATAGTTTTGGTAATCAGTTCTTGGTCTGAGCCAGCCAGAAATCCAGATGTTTGCATTCTTATCTCTGGTGCATATGTGGCTCCCATTCATTCCCTCCCCCCACCCCAAAGTTCTCCCTTAAATTCTGTCCTATATGAACTGCTCATCTCCCTGCTCACTAATCCTTCTCCTTCTTTAAATATTCAGTGTAGTTCTAATGTGCCTAACAGGTTGTTCTAGGTTTTGTTTCTTGTGTTCTTTCAACTAAATTCTTCGAAAATAAATGATTAAGTGGATTTTTTTTTCCTCTTCAAATGAATTAAGGTAAAAATCAACATATGTGCTTCTCTTCCAGCCTAAGTGGTCCAAATTGTGTTTCAGAATATATTGTCAAGATTAAGACCTTCATGGAGTTGTAGCTAAAAATAACCTAAGAATCTGGCCAGTTAAGGAAGTCCAGATGTAGAGATTAAAGAAATCATGGAGGACTATAATATAGTGAGACTTCTCCTTACCTCAGCATATTAGGGTGTGGCCATTTATTTATAGCACTGCAGTTAATTATAGTCTCTGTTTGTGTCCTTTCTCCTCAAGACTGAACATAATTAGGAAGCTAATAGCAGATGAAGTGGATTTTCTTCAGCACGTCACTCAGCTTGATCTGCGCGACAATAAGCTTGGTGATCTAGATGCCATGATTTTCAACAACATTGAAGTTTTACACTGTGAAAGGAATCAGCTGGTGACATTAAACATCTGTGGCTATTTCCTAAAAGCGCTCTATGCCGCTTCTAATGGTATGTGATATAGAGCACATCAGAGTTTCTCTTCTGGTTCCAAGAATTGACTCAGCACCATCATCTCTGTCTCACTCTGATTTTTACTTTGCTCATTTAATAAAATAAGTGTCAGATATTGCTGAGGTAAAAATCATAAAAGAAGAATGCTGGTATGGTATTTAAAAGAACCAAAATGGAAGATTTTATAGGTCCCAACTTGTTTTTCTCATATTGCGATATTTAGGTAAGTTACTCCCCCACTCTTGATTTGGCTCCTCTGATTAAAAGGCCTTAATAAACTATTTCTTGGACTACCCTGTTAAGATAGTAAATCTGGAACATGATTTAATATGGGAGAGTGAAAATGAAAGGAAGGTCCATTTTGGACTCTACTCAGGGTCTCAGATTTCATGCTCCACTAACAAAGTAACTAATCCTCAGAGAGACCTGAATTATATACCCACAGGACACCACAAATCAGGAGTCTTACTCATTTAATGAGATCTCTCTTTCCGAATCTGGAAATCATGACAGTTCTAAAAAAGAAAAGATCATAGGGACATATGTTACTAAAGTGAAGATTTCAATTCCCTGCAATCAGAAAACTGAGCGAAAACAACTATTCAGTACTACAAGTTGAGCAATTGTTTATCATGTACTTGTTCTATGAATAGTGTAGTGCATGAGTTCTAAAGGATAGGGGATTTTTTTTCTTTTTTTGAAATGAGTTTATTGTCATCTCATGAGAGAAACAAGCCAAATGTCAGATAGCTACAAGTCACTGAGGGTTATAGGATTTGGATAGCCAGGAGGCACCAAGTGGGTGTTGAAGAGGAAAGAATCTGAATGTGGTCTGTTCGGCAGATGGGAGAAAACAGGGAATTCTGAACTCATAGGTGCCCACTAGAAAATGGTGAGAGGTGGTTATGGAATGCATGGCTTGGAGTCAGATGGTAAAGCTTTGAAGCTAGTGCAGTAAACGCTAGAGAGCCCGTGGAGATTAAGTAGAGGGACACGTGATGGAAGTGATGCTGTAAGACTGTTCCGGTTAAAGTAATGTACAGGGTGTATTTATGGGAGAAGAGTGGAGCCCTTACCACCTTGCCAATCGCCATCATTGTAATGGTTTTCATGGGAGCAAATGGGAACTTGCACTCAGGACTACAGATGTTGGTTTGAGGCACATCTGTTAGAGGTGGAACCTGCAACCGTGAAGTAAAGTTAACTGGGAAAGAGAAGAGCACTGGTACCAGGAGTCCACTTAGAAGACCCTCCCAGCGGGCGCCAGGATAGGCAACCAAATAGATGCTGAACTGGTGAATTACAGGGTGAGTGTTTGGAGAAGCAGAAGGACACCTAGAAACTACTCTTAGAAACGAAGCCCTAGGTGGATGGTGGTATCCTATTTCATACAGTTTTGAGGAAGGGTTTTCAGATTGGAGTGGAGGAAGTCATTTGTGACCCTCAAGAGTATGGTTTCAGTAGAGTAAAAAAGGCAAAAGCCAGATGCGTATGGTTTTATGGAAGGAATTCCAGATTTAAAAAACTGTTCATACAGTTAATCTTCCAGGTGACATTCAGCCTGGATAACAAGAGGAGAGCCACAGTAAGTGGGTGGGGGAAAGGTAGGAAAGTAGGAGTGATTTATTTCAATCGCTGAATAAGATCTTGTGATTAAATTGGAAGTTCTCTGTACTTTCCTGTGGTTTCCAAGTTTAACAAATGGATGTATTGTACTTCCTAACCTAAACAATGGTGAATAAAGCACAGTGATGATGTTCTACATACAAAAAGTCTCTGTGTGACTTGAATGGTAATGTCTTTGTGTTTTTTCCCTGCCTCCTAGAACTTGTTCAACTGGATGTTTACCCAGTTCCAAATTATCTGTCGTACATGGATGTTTCAAGGTAAGATGCCAAGTCCTAGAGTCCTCTAGAGTCTGCTTGAAAGGTATTTAGATCATCCTGTCTGAGCTTATGCCTAAAGACTTTTTATATATTTTGACGGTAAATATTACAAATTAAGGGCGCCTGGGTGGCTCAGTTGGTTAAGCGACTGCCTTCGTCTCAGATCGTGATCCCAGGGTCCTGGGATTGAGTGCCGCATCGGGCTCCCCCTGCTCTGTGGGGAGCCTGCTTCTCCCTCTCCCTCTGCCTGCCACTCCCCCTGCTTGTGCTCTTGCGTGTTCTCTCTCTCTCTGTGTCAAATAAATAAATAAAAAATCTTTTAAAAAATATTACAAATTCATAGTTTTTACTTATCTTCTGAAAAATCTACGTAAATATCTGTTAGTTAAAATATTACATTTGTGTACTGTAGTTCAAAATAGAAGAATCAAGGTATTATGTCCCTCTAGACACCAATTTGACCACCATGTTTGGGCCGAAAGATTAATGAGTTGAGTGTCATACGGCTGGAAGGTCCAGAATTTCTTTAATTATATTAACCATATCTTCAGTCTTCATTTTAAAAATGTTGTGCTATCTCTCTTTGATATTTTTTTCCTTCCCTCTATTATTTTGCCCCTATATCTTCTTGCTAAGAACCCTTAGAAAATAGCAACTAAGCCTACCAAAGTAGGATTTCCATCCGGCCTGCTCACTTTTCTCAGCTTATTTGCAAACAGGCTGACCATCTCACCTTTTATACAAATTCACTACTGCACTGTGTCATGTTTACTCCAGTTCCCATAAATATAGTAGACTTTTTTCTGAAGGCATAAAGCATGTATTTATACAAATTAGACTTTAATAATCTTAACACACTAAAACTGAAACTTTTAACATAACTTCAAAGGAAATATCCAAAATTTTCTGAACAACCACAGTACATGGAGGTTTGTGGCCCACTCAGTGTAGCAAGTGTTAACTCATATCAGTGTGCAAAATCCAATACAACTGCCATGTAACTGGTCAGGTGCAGAATTTGCCTTTAGTTATAAAAATATACAAAGAGTTATTTTAATAAGGTTCTCAGAATTATGTAAGAAAGTGTCAGAATTATTACAATTAAAATTTTCAGAAATTTATAATTATAAAATACTTTATGAATAGTGCTTCATGAATTTTCTGCTAAATTCTTGTCAATTTTGTTTAATAAACTTGAAGTCGGATTTTACCTGATTATTTTTTTTAACAGTCTTGAATGCTGTTATCTTCAGCCTTTAAGAACAGTACTGCAGTGGGTTTGCATACATGGGTATATATAAATATCTTGAACAGATTTATTTCAGAGTCGGCCATAGAGTAAATCTATTCTCCTTTTATTTATAGGATGTAACTGGCAAATGGTTCCCACTGAAACCCCTAAGTGAGATTGAATTGGAAACCCTGTCTTGCTTTTCCCTGAATTCTGCCACTTAAATGCTATCCATCTTTCTTTATAATTCTCATGTCCAGAATCTTCAGTGTAACTCACTGTGCCTCATTCGCCTCCCCAACTAACTATAGGACTTTCTCTGAGAAAAACTGACCCCCCTGACATAGCTCTGAGTATTTCACCCTCCTCCTTTTATGTGAGTATTTATGTTATCAACAGGAACTGAGCTGTCACCCACCATGGTGTTTACTAGGCCCTCAAGTTCGAAGTTCCAGGTTATTTTTATCGCTGATAGGAGTTTTATTGCTCTATATTGAGGTTCTTTATAGTGAGAGGGACTTTCACTCTCCTATCTTATGAAGATGTTTTAGGGGTTAACTACTATAAAATAATTAAGTGGGTCGATCTCCAGGGCTTCAAAGCCAGAACCATGTGTACCTGTACAGACACTAAGAAAATAAGGCCACCTTTTCTGTATTTGAATTGAAAAGTTAGTACACTAGCAAAATTAAAGAACATGATTTTTAATCATGCTACCACCGTTAATATCACAATGGTTTTCACTTTGATAGAGTCCGAAGCATCATATTTGCATGGAATTGTTCATCTGTCTTTAAAGAGTTGTGCTCATAATGTACATATCATTTTATATTCTATGTGCCTGGTCATTTCACGCATTTAAAAACGAAGAGAAAAGGCTAATCATCCATGACTGGGGAGCTACTCATTGTAGTAGATTTGTCTAAGAAGTGATGAGTTCATTTAGTGATAAAGTCAGCATTAGTTTAGTTCCCTTGTTTCTGCTAATTATAATTGCCATCTTAATGCATAAGCTAATGTTTTCATATAATTCTGAGTCTCACAGGTCTCTGGTGAGACTGGTAACTGGTACCATTTCTTTCCTTTTATCTATGATCTATGCTTTCATGATACCTACTGGAGTTAAGAAGTATTAAAAATGTAAATTGGAAAATAAAACTACTTTATGCCATTTTACTTAATTGAAAGAATGTGTATGTTTGCTTGTTTTGTTTTGTTTTTTTCCAATATAAGACATCCTCTTGCTAAGCTTGCATGGGTTTATAGACTTCGTAGGATAACAATTCTGGGAACCAGACCTTTTATTTTTTTAAGACTTTAGAGATGATATAACTATGTCCTTTTCTACTTTTTCTTTCTTTCCTCTTCCTTGTCACACTTCATCTTGCTTCTAGATTAAAGTGAATATACATATCCTTTTGATTAATATTCACTATACTTTGGTATTTTGTTAGAAGATTTATTTTGTGTAGTTATTCTGAGTTTCAAACCATATTTTAGGCCAAATTCCAATCAAAGAAAAAAAATTGTATATTCTTATATTTAGGAACTGCTTAGAAAACGTGCCTGAGTGGGTATGCGAAAGCCGAAAGCTAGAAGTTTTGGATATTGGCCATAATCAAATATGTGAACTTCCTGCACGGTGAGTATTACAGATTGAGTGAGAGAATCTTAAATTAGAGAAGCAGTTTTTTAATAATTTAGCTTGTTATTATGAACTCCTAAAAGAATTTGTTTTAAAACCTTATTTCTAGTGTCTTTTATCTCATATGGTATCTCTGAATTATAAACTTTCTTCATGCAGTGGAGAGTAGGGTGAGACTTTGTCAGCCAGGCTTTCCAAAGCCACGCAGGGTGGTGCTTAGGGGATGTTTCTAAATAAGCAGTGTTTGAAAACTCAGCAAACAGTGTGTTCACCTCTGTAATTTCAGTTCTTTCAGAATCTTTCACTTCTGTCTGTTGACCTCACATGTCTACCTTCCCCACAAATAATTCTCAGTTTTCCTTGAACATAACTTTGGAAAAAAGGATTATTAGATCATTAAACGTAGAAAGAGCAAACTAGATTCTGTTTTTCTTGGTATGAAATTTGGAATAAAGGTCCAAGAACTTTTCTTTCCTTCTCTTTTCTGTCTTAATGTGTATTATTTTTATTTCATAATTTTCACTTCAATGGCAAGATTTGTAACACAGCCATGTCATGAGGTCTAGTGTCCTTAGATACAAACAAATATCTTCAGGTTAACTAATTCTGGTACAAAATATTATTGACTGTTAGTGACTAGCCATGCAATTAATAACAAAAGGTAGCCTATTGCAGTACTATCCTATAGAATTTTCCATGATGGTGGAAATGCTGTCTTTTATACGACGAGTAACTGTGCTGTCCAGTGCAGCTGGACTAGTCACGCATGACTGTTGAGACTCAGAATGTGGCGAGTCCTAACTGAGAAGTGCCAAAGTATGCAATGTACAGTAGATGCAAAGTATCTCACTGGTACTGTATGTTAATTACATGTTAAAATAATATTTTGGATATATTGGGTTAAATAAAATGTAAGAATGAATTTATCTGTTTCTTTTCACCATTTTTAATGTGGCTACTAGAAAATTTACCATTACATATGTGGCCTGCATTATATTTCTGTTGGTTAACACTGTTAGAACATAGATCTTATAAAAGAAATCTGGGTTACATTTCGATCCCTAGAAAGCTCAGTTGATTTTACTTTGTTCCTTGGCCATATGCTATACCTGGAATTGCAGTCTGTTTGAAAATGCTTTCTGCTTTAGAGTTTTCTGTTGACTGAGCCTTTAGGCAACCCAGTGCAGCCCAGCACCATTATTAAGAGGACTTTGGTGCTGTGCCCTGTGGACAGAAGTGTGTGTAGGTGTGAGGCCAACCTGAGAGAGACCCTTTCAGGAGACAAACAGCAAAAATCAAGATAGACTCCTACTAATGGGGGAATAAGAATTTGTTGAAAAAAATCTTGCAATGTTACCTTTCTTCTGTTTTCTCTGTTCTCTTCCCCACTTCAACCTCCCCAATCCAACAGATAAGCAGCACAGTGGTGTCTAAGGCCTCTGTTTTCACTGTAGGCTTCAACAAAGATACTGTGTACACAAACCCAACAATTAAGTAAAGATGAACAGATGTTTTATCCAGTTTTCCCCAAAGTTAATTAATCTTTGATTTGATCTGCATTAGGTGGGCTCTTTTGGGGATCTAAACGAATGCTTATTTAAAAGCAAATTGCAAATGCCCCGTGGTTAAGGAATTAAACAGAGTGTGTGTGTGCGCGCGCGCGCGTGTGTGTGTGTGTAATGTGTGGGACAAAAACAATATATACTGTTTTCTTACCGTGTTTAGTTGCAAACTATCAGCTCTATCATTGATCTAATATTCAGCAAGACAGCAGTTCATTAGAAGCTGATTTGATAGTCAAGCTTTGTTTAAGCAATGTATGTAAAGGATTTGACAAAACAAATTAATATTTAGAAATGGAAATGTATTAAAAGGAAAATACGGTGTTTTAATGCTTAGTATCCAGAAGAATTCAGCTAAGTCCAGTAATTAGCATTTAAGACTCATTCTGTAGTTTTAACATCTCTTTTATTTGGAAAAATCAATATAAAGATTTTGTCATCTTTCTTTCAGTTATCCATTATTTAAGGATAAAGTGTGTGTGTGTGTGTGTGTGTGTGTGTAAATAATAAATAACACATTCTCCCTTCTGAATCCTAAATTGCACCCCAGGCCCAGTAAGACAGTAAAATTAGTGAACCAAATCCTGAATTACTGGGTTGAGGTGAATTACAGAGACCACCCCCCTGTGAAAACCGTGACTGAATGACTGTCCTGGATAATCTGTCTTGTCACACTGATGTCATGCCAGGTACCAATCATGGCAGCGTTGAGACAGGTTGCTTGCGTCTCTGTGAACGAAGAATCTGGTTTTGACATTTAAAGTGAATAAAGTTCGGCTGTCGCGTGGAGTGATTTTAACAGCCCTGGAGGTCCCTGAGTGAGGTCACAGGGTGGAAGGCAGGAGGTTGTGGCGTGGCCTCGTTCTTTGACAGCACTGTACATGAGGTCTCCCTCCAGATTGATCCTGATGCAAAGTATAACCTTGCTCTGCCACAGGCCCCACATTTCTGTGTTTAAACCTGGGGCCTGTTTTATTCTCTACAACTGTTGAAGAAGTCTGAATTTGGTCATACAGCGGATTTATATTTGATTAAAGCATTCATCATTTGTAGCGGTTTTGATAACCCGTAGAAGAAACATAGCCAGGGTTCCAAACAGCTCTCTAGGCACAAAAGAGAATAGTGAATTAAGTGCATTTCCTTCTCTTTGGGAGGGGTCTCAGTTTTGTCTAGGATTAAACCAAAGAGAAAAGAAAAATATACAGACTTAGGGAAGTAAGGAAAGGGAGAAATATTGTGGTTGTGAAATGCAAATGAGGAAAAATGTAACACTTTATCAGTTGGCATTTGTAAAAGTTTAATCAGAGAGAAGAATCCTTATTTAATGTTGATCCTGTAGGTAAAAATTGATCGACTCTATTTATTGAGAATCTGCTGTGGGTAAAACGCCTGTGTTCCATGGCAGACAAGACATGAGCCCTACCTCGAGAAGCCTACAGCCTTTTAAAGCATGGCTTCTGAGTCTAGCAAAGTTAGACTATTCCCTTCAGGATCTTCTATGAAACTTTTCTCTCTTTCATTAAGTAGAGCTTCTTTATTAAATAATTCCTGTTGATCGTTTTTCCCACCCTCTTTTATTTCTTTTTTTGTTTTGTTTTGCAGTATGGAAAGTATTAAAACGTAAAGAGCTCCAAGTTTGAGCTTAGGAATTTACAGTTGCTCAGAATAAATTTATGTTTCTTTGGAGAGAGCATTTTAAGTGTTCGGCTCCTGTTCATTTTTTTTATTCCTTATCCCAAATTAGCGCTAAGTAGGTTTCCTTCTGTCTTTGTCCCCTCTGGCACAGCTTATTTTGTAATAGTAGTCTCCGGAAGCTGCTGGCAAGACACAACCAGCTGACGAGGCTACCCGAGAGGCTGGAGAGGACCTCAGTGGAGGTCTTGGATGTGCAGCACAACCAGCTCCTGGAGCTGCCGCCGAACCTGCTGATGAAGGCCGACAGGTACAGTAGCTTGTTTGTTTGGGTTACTCATCAGGGTTGTAGAATGCCCGCTCGTTAGCATTCTTGTCCTACGTGGCGTGTGGACTTTCTTTTCTTTTATTATATTTATCTACTTGGGAGAGAGAAAGACAGAGACAGAGCATGAGCACGGGGTTAGGAATCAGAGGGAGAGGGAGAAGCAGACTCCCTGCTGAGCAGGGAGCCCAACATGGGGCTCGATCCCAGGACCCTGAGATTATGACCTGAGCCGAAGGCAAATGCTTAACCCACTGAGCCACCCAGGTGCCCCTCGTGCAGATTTTCTGATTGTCTGAGGTTTTACCAAGAAAATGGTTCTCCAGCCACTTCTCTGTTTGGTAGGGGATGGAGTCAGGGGATATCCTGTAGGTTCTTCATTAATTTTGCTGCTTTCTGAGAGGAGTAAGTTGAGTCGTTCATAAGCATAAGCACAGCATAAGTTTGCTACCTGGTCATAACTGGTGCAGGTTGCTCCAGTCTTAGCTGAATTATCTTAGGATTCTCTACTCTTGCTTTCACATATTTGTGATTTGGGGTGACAGACATAGTTTTCCTAGAGTTTGCTAAGTTCTTTCACTGTTGTTGTTTTCTGACCAATTGTCCTTACATTTACCACAGTTTTCCCTTTGCATTTAAATTATTTTCTTTAGAACAAACTTTTTCTAAATAGCTTATGTCACTAAGTAGTTAAAAACATTGTTCTGATTTGAGGGGGAGGTTAGTTTAAACATTCAGTGAAATCTCTTTTCTGTGGAGAGTTGCCACATGCAGAACTTCCCTTAAAGAAAGCTTGAGGTTAACTGAGTGTTACCTTACTTTAGAACATCTTGTTTGCCTCAGGGGCCTTGTGCATTATACGAAAAGGCCCACAGCCTGATGGCCTGCATCATTTTGACCTCTGCTAATGTTTATTTTTAGTGAGTGACCATTACTTTAGAGATGATATGAAGGATTTAACCTTTACTATACCTCATGAGAAAGAGAAAAAAGTAAAGTTTAATTTTGTGGTTCTCTTACAGAAGAAAACAATGATGGGTCTTTCTGCCTTAAAATATAAATTTGAAATATGTTTCAGCGTATGTGATTTTTCATTGGTGAAAAGAACTCTGCTTTCCTAAAGTGAATTAGACACCCGACCATGTGTACCAAGCTCCCTGTGCTTATTCCTGTCTTGATACTCATCACACACTGTTATATAATTTCTCGTTTACTGTCTGTCCCCCCATTAGATTATGAACGCTGTGTCCAGTGACTGTGTCTTAATTATAGTGTTATCCTCAGCATTTTGCAGCATGTCTGGAATAAAGCAGGGTGCTCAACAAATATTTATATAATGAACAAAAGAAAATTTAAGGAATTTTAAATACTACCTTCACTGTTGGATTTTCATCTTTTTTCCTATGTCCTTTAAAAAAAAAAAACTTCTTAATCAAAATATAGCTTATAGTCAAAAAACTATAACTCTTAAGCATACTGCTCAATGAATTTTTACATATATGCCCCTATAGTCATTGCCCGGATTAAGATAGAGAACATTTTTAGTTCTCCCTGCCTTTTCCTTTTGTTTTTTTTTTTTTTTCCTCATTTAAAAAAACATTTATTCTTTGTACTTAATATAAATTACAATGAATTCCTACGGGGATAGTTATAGAGAAATAATGGAATTGTGAGAAAATGGAATTGTTAAATTGTAATTGACCAGTGCTATACCATTCCCCTGACAAAAAAGAGCAATGTTTCAAGATCATTTAAAGAATTGTTCTTACATCTGCATTCATATCAAAATACCGTTGACCCTTGAATAACATGGGGGTTGGGGTACCAACCCCCACACAGTCAAAAATCTATGTATAACTTTTGACCCCCCCAAATTTACGAATAACCAGAAACGTTACCGATAATATAAAGGTCGGTTATCAAATATTTTGTATAAGTGTATTATATACTGTATTCTTATGATAAAATAAGCTAGAGAAAAGAAGTGTTAGAAATCATAAGAGAAAATACATATACAGCACTATACTATATTAAAAAAAATCCACATAGTGGATCCATGCAGTTCAAACCTGTGTTTTTCAAGGATCAGCAGTGCAGTGCATGGATGTGGGTGGCTAAAGACACATGCTTTTTGTCGTCCCGAATACTGTAGGATTTAGTCTCTTCCCCTGTGCAGAATTCTAAGTGATATTATAACCTCGTGTTTTCTTTCTTAAGGCTAACTAGGCAAAACTCGGGTGCAGTTTTATCGTGAGAATCTACTTGTTCTCCTGGGCGTCTACACTGAATCTACAGAAACAAGTAGATAGATAGAATCCGATATAGGAGTCTGAGATAAAACCGGTTCTGAATCTGGCCAAGTCTGATAGGCTCATGGCTAATGGAGTAGATAAATAGGCTGGAACTCTCCAGTAGATAATGAGTCTTTATTCATTTTTTAAAAGGACAGTTCTGTATATTTTTAATTCTCTAGAAGCAATCAGTAAGCAGTGAGTCTCCTTGGTGCTGGGGCAGATCTGAAAACATGTCCCGGAGGGGGAGCTCATAAGTGGAGTCGAGGAGACTGTTTTCGTGTTCAGAAAAGAATTTGAGTGGGGCAGCTGTAATTTAAATTCCTCCACAGGTGATTCTGCTTACTGTTGACTTTGTGACCCGGCACAGCTCACTCTGAATCTCGGTTTTCCCATGTTGCATATTCTGGACAGTTCCCAAATGGAATCTGTAATTTGGAAGTGGAAGGATTGTGTGAACTGGAATATTTCTAGTAACACAACGTGGAAAATTAGGGACCTGAATCAAGCCACTGAAAGAGGACATTGCTGTCATGGAGAGGATAAGCTGCGCTAACGGTGTAGGCTGAAGGCATTTAGGCGGTAATTCCCAGTCTGGATAGATGGGTCTATCCAGAGCCAGCTGCATTTTGGAAAATAGGAGCTGTGGAGGGGGGATTCGCTAGCCTCTGTAGGTCTTGGGAGGAGGGCAGGCCATGTGAAATGTAATTCTGGCACAGGAAAGTCCCGAGTGGGAGGCCAGGCGAATTACAAGGAGTGGGCATCCTCCTTCATAAAATGAAGGAAAGCAAATGACCGAAAAAGGCTGAAATGAACTTTTTCAAGAAAGCGTATTTCAGTGCTTTTGTTTTCCAACCATGATAATAGCCACCTCTCAGCGTGGTGTATTATTAGTCATGACTCTGAGTCAGAAAGAAGAGTTAAGAGTTTTGGTCCTCTCAGGCAGATAGCATTGTGAAAGGGATAATATAAAGTTGATGAATGCTTTTTTGAACGACATTCTTGTGTTACTTCACTTGTTGGAAGACAAGAAACACAGAATATTTGATAATGATTCTCACTAAACTATTTACTGCTTTGTAAATGGTTAATATGTCTACTTTCCCCTTTCCAAAACCTAAATAATGGAGGTTTAATCTTTAGAGAGAGTGTGCATGCAAGCGGCGGGGGGAGGGCCAGAAGGAGAGGGAGAGAGAGAGAATCTGAAGCCAACTCAATGCTCACCTCAGAACGGAGCCCTGCATGGGGCTCAATCTCACAACCCTGAGATAATGACCTGAGCTAAAATCAAGAGTCAGACGCTGAACTGATTGAGCCACCCGGGTGCCCCTCTATCTAAATTTTTTTTTAATTCTATTTTTTTACTGAGGCTTAATTTACATTCAGGAAAATGGAGCGATATTGTGTATTAGGTTTGATGAGTTTGGGGGGAAGGAATAAACCAAAACTGACAGTTGTGGGAGCAGGTCAACCCAGAAAACATGGAGTTCAAAATATGAAAGAGGGTTTTTGAGGACAGAATCTCTGTAACAGGCTTCTTGCAGGTGGGTTCAGTTGTGACTTGTTCTAGTTTGCATGATCCAGGCCAACACCTTGCTGACCCAGGACATTGAAGTCACTGTGCTGGGTGCCCCAGGGCATTGAAAGGGACATCGGTAGTACCCTCAAGGGGCTCACAGTCTAATGCAGACTTTAAAATAATTACACAATAAACCATAATAAAAAGTGGGTTTCAGAGGGGAAAAGAGAGGGGAAATGATATGGTTGGTTTTAATTTAGGCTCCTGGCGTGAAGAACGGCACTTTGCTGTTGGATAATACAGAGCTGTTTGTTTCGTAAATAGCTTCAAGCAGTAATGAAACTTTGCTTCAATCCTCCTTCCATTCAATTAGCTCCAAAATACAAATCTTAAAAATATATAGATGCACCTTGTTTCTTTCTTTCTTTTGTGGTAATAAATTACTGTGGCCAGTTCTGTATTTGGTTATATAACTGAAGAGAGGGCCTGAATACAAGTCTTCATAAGTTATAAATGGTTTAGCTCGTGCTCTAAGTAGAACTTGTGCTTGGAAGCTTTAAGAGAACTGTCAGAAAAACATGCGTCATTGGACACAGAGCAAAGACTGAACTTTGACTCTCTTGTGAGTTTTTCTTTAGCTCTGAGTCTTGCCTGCTAGAACCAATGTCATGGTTTTAATTACATGATGTTGTCTGTTAAGTATTACAGCTTTAGAGTGGTGTATATTAATTTTCCTTACCTGGTGGTAGAAGGTATTTGGTAACCAAATGAGAGAAGGAAACCTGCTTTAAATTAGATGACTTTTAGTAATACCTTTCTCTTCCTATGAAAACTTTAGACCAATTTTATTAAAATTCTTAGGGCTTGAACCAGCGATGTTAGCTTATGAGTTTACTCTCTGTATTAATCTGTGAGTTTTGTTTATTTTGACTTGCTTTTCATTGGTAGCTCAAAAAGTGTAGACAGATGTGAGATGTGATGGACCGTGTGTTGCCAGGAAGTTGACTGTGATTTTGTGTCTTATGATGAGGGTGGGATTTGGTTCTCTGGGGTGAACTGGCAATATTCTAGTCTGGATCTCACTGTCCTAGATCTCTTATCTTACCTCTTTTTGCTTAGAGTTGAAGATCTCCTTGATGGAAGCCCCCAGGAGTTTCAGATAATCAGTTTTTATC